GGGTAGTTCTCTAAATTGGGGCCCCTCTTAGGATCCTTTTTATAAGGGTGCCGTACTATTTTGGGGCACCCAAAAAGGGACCCCAATTTAGAGAACTACCCGTTTGGGATTAAGGCTTTAGGGATGGATGTTTAGGAAGAAAGGCCCTTAAACCCTAGAACCAATTGGAACGGGAAACCCCGTTGCACACGCAAGGCCCCCGGGAAGAAACACTACCTCCCAGATAAGTCCAGTCGCTACACTCTAAGGACGACATATAATCCTAAACCATATAGGTAGTTCTCTAAAGCAGGGTCCCGTTTTTAGTCCCCCATATTACGGCACTGTTATAAACAGGTCCCTAAAAGGGACCCTATTTTGCAGAACTGCCCATACAGGATTCACGGTATAGGGCCACTACTTGTAAGGGTCACTTGGTCCCCAAAGGCAAAGCTTCCGAGAGACCTGGCCACCCGATGTAATCCCCCGACTGCGTCCGAAAAACTGGTTTAGGGTTTAGGCTTTATAGGATTATAGGGTTTAGGGTCTATAGGGTTAAAGGGCTTTAGGGTTTAGGCTTTATAGGATTATAGGGTTTAGGGTTTATGGGGTTTAAAGGGGTTTAGGGTTTAGGGTTTAGGGTTTACAGGGTTTAGGGCTTGTAGGGTTGAGGGTCTATAGGGTTCAATGGGGTTTAGGGCTTCTAGGGTTTAGGGGTCAATATCCAAGAAGCCCCTGCTGGTACCTCGAGACGCCCTGCAAATTCCTCCAGCCCCCAAAGGAACCATAGAGTTCTTTCATAAGTATTTTGGGGTTTAGGGCTTAGGGTTTAGGGTTATGTTTAGGGTTCAGGGTTTAAAGTTTAGGGGGTTTAGGGTTTAGGCTTATGTTTAGGGTTTAGGGGTTTAGGGTTTAGGGTCATTAGTACAATAAGGTCCCCGCCAAGGTAAGGGGGCAAAATCGACCGGTACTCTTGCAGTCAAGTGTCGCCAGGAGTTGCCGGGAGTTGAAATGCCTGAGCTTCGGGTTTAGGGTTAAGGGTGTATGTGGAGTATGCAAGGCTTTCTGTACTCTCAGCTGCTGAGCTCAAAAGCACAAAACAGGTGTACACTTTCAGTAAGAGATCATACTATCCCTAAAAAGTTTAAAATTTGCTCATTCAGCTACTAAACCTATGACCACAAGCAGATAGGCAGGGTTGTGGGCTGCCTGGGCAGGCCCTTGAGTCAAGGATTGCGGGATGGTAGTTGGGATTTTGAGATCAATAGCTCGAAACCCAAAACCCGACACCCCTTTGGGTTTAGGGGTTTAGGGTTTAGGGCTTTAGGGGTTTTGGGTTTTGGGCCCTAAACCCTAAACCCTAAACCCAAATCTGCGATTTCTGGGTTTCCGGGGTTTGGGGAGCTTAGGTCTGCTTCATCGGCCTGAGACTCAGGGCTTCCGCTTCTTGCTGCCTTAGGGTTTAGGGTTGCTAGGGTTTCGGATTTTTAGGGTTTTGGGTTTTAGAGTTTAGGGTCTAGGGTTTAGGGTTTAGGGTTTTGTGGGTTTTTAAGGTTTAGGGTTTAGGGTTTTAGAGTTTTAAGGTTTTAGGGTTTTAGGGTTTAGGGTTTTAGAGTTTTAAGGTTTTAGGGTTTAGGGTTTAGGGTTTTAGGTTTAGGGTTTAGGGTTTTAGAGTTTTTAGGGTGTAGGGTTTTAGAGCTTTAGGGTTTTAGGGTTTAGGGTCTAGGGTCTAGGGTTTAAGGTTTAGTGGTCGGGCTTTACTGAGGCCTACGGCCAAATCCTCCGTCCACCGAGACTCAGCCTCCTACCTTTGGCGGGTAACATGTGAAGGCCCTTAGGGGTTGGGGTTCAGGGTTTTGGGTTCAGGGTTTTGGGTTTACGGTTTACAATTAGTATTCGGCTGTGAAATGTGGCTGCTACAAGAACTTCTTGCCTTCACCCTAAAGGCTAGAACCCTAAACCCTGAATTTAAGGCAGCTGGGGCGTCTAGGTGGGCGGTGGGCTCCTAAACCCTAAACCTTAAACCGCTAAACCCCAAACCCTAAGCCCCAAACCCTTAACCCTAAACCCTATAAGCCCCAAAACCCTAAACCCTAAACCCCTAAAGCCCTAAACCCTAAACCCTACAGATCCTATAGATCCCTTTTAAGGAACCTTTTTAAGGAACCCTAGGCCCTAAACCCTATAGATCCCTTTCAAGGAACCCCAAACCCTATGAAGCCCCCCAAAACCCAAAGATCTTCAAATCCCGAAGTGGGACCTTATAGTACCCTTATAGAAACCCTTAAAGGAGCCCTTAAAGGACCCTAAAGCCCCAAAACCATAAACCCTAAACCCGAAACCCTAAACCCCTGAACCCTAAACCCTAAACCCCTAAACCCTAAGCCCCCCAAACCCAAGGATCTCCAAAGGCTGCAAGGCCGCCGGCTCGTCTTGGGCCCCACAGCCAGGACGGGCTCCTTCACGAGTTCCCCAGTAGCCCCCTAATAAATTTTAGGGCTTATAGGGCTTAGGGGTTTTAAGGTTTATAAGGTTTAGGGTTTAGGGCTTAGGGGTTTTAAGGTTTATAGGGTTTAGGGTTTAGGTACCATTTTTCCTACTATTTGGTTCCCCAGTAGCCCCCTAATGATAAGGGTATTTAGGGTTTAGGGGTTTAGGGGTTTAGTTAGAGGAAACTACAGGTGGGGAGTTCAGGGTATATAAGGCTTCTATAAGGCTTCTATAAGGTATATAGACCTTCTATTAAGGCTCCTATAACGGTAACTACCCACCTGAAAATGTCTTAGATTTCGGGGTTTAGGGTTTGAGCGGGGCCGCGGGGGCAGCGATCACAGCCAAATCACAGAGAAAATCACAGACAAATCACGGCCAAATCACAGAAAAATCAAAGAAACAACAGAGAACAATCACAGAACACTCACAGAAGCAGCGCAGACAAGTCACAGAAAGATCACAAGAAAACCACAGGGTCTTCAATCCAATCACAGCTTGCTTACAGTTTCATCACAGATCCGCTCACAGGTAAAATCACAAAGAAATCACAACAATAATCATTATAACCGTCCCCCGTTTCTGCATGCATTGGGACTCATAACACTAGCTCGAGTGGACTGGTATAAGTAGCAGTGTTTGTCTTGACTTGCGAACAAACATATAAGCAATCATCTAGGAATCTGGCCGGCGCTAGCTTCGAACTGCATGAACGCTGCAAGCAGGGTTGACCAGCAACAAAATGTACACCTGGCAGGCTAACCCAGTGTCATCGCCCTCAGCATTCACGGTCCTTGGGAAACGTAAAAAAGGCAACGGCGCCGCACTAGCTCGAGTAGACTGGTAAAAATAGCCTTATTTGTCTTG